CATACCCTAATTTATGGGACACAATGAAAGCAGTTCTCAGAGGAAAATTCATAACACTAAGTGCCTTCAAGAAGAAATTTGTGACATTGCATACAAGCAACTTAATGGCCCAATTGAAAGCTCTAGAAAAAAAAAGAAGCAAATACACCCAAGAGGAGCAGACAGCTGGAAATAATCAAACTCAGGGCTGAAAGCAATCAATTAGAAACAAATAAAACAATTCAAAGAATCAATGAAACCAAGAGCTGGTTCTTTGAGAAAATCAACAAGATAGACAAACCTTTAAACTAACTAAAAGGCAGAGAGAAACTATCCAAATCAGCAAAATCAGAAATGAAAAGGGAGACATAACTACAGACACTGAGGAAATCCAAACAATCATTAGGTCGTTCTTCAAAAGCCTATATGCCACAAAAATTGGAAATCTAAAAGAAATGGACAATTTTCTTGATAGATTCCATCTAGCAAAATTAAGTCAAAATCAGGTAGAAAGATTGAATAGTCCTATTTTCCCCAAGGAAATAGAAGCAGTCATCAACCGTCTCCCTTTCAAAAGAAACAAACAAACAAACAAACAAACAAAAAACAGGGCCAGATGGTTTCAGCACAGAATTCTACCAGACCTTCAGAGAAGTGCTAATTCCAATTCTCTTCAAACTATTCCACAAAATAAAAACAGAAGGAACATTACCAAACTCATTCTATGAAGCCACAGTCACCTTGATACCTAAACCACACAAAGACCCAACAATAAAAAGAGAACTTCAGACCTATCTCTCTTATGAACACTGATGCAAAAATACTCAATAAAATACTTGCAAAACAAATCCAAGAACACATCAAAGATATCATCCACCACGACCAAGTAGGCTTCATCCCAGGCATGCAAAGGTGGTTCAACATATGGAAATCCATCAATGTAATCCATCACATAAACAAACTGAAGAGAAAAACCACATGATCATCTCCTTAGGTGCTGAAAAAGCATTTGACAAAGTCCAACACCCATTCATGTTTAAAGTCTTGGAGAGATCAGGGATACAAGGAACATATGTAAACATAGTAAAGGCAATATACAGAAAGCCTATAGCCAACATCAAACTCAATGGAGAGAAACTTAAATCAATCCCACGAAGTCAGAAATAAGGCAAGGCTGCCCACTCTCTCCATATCTCTTCAACATAGTACTTGAAGTCCTAGGTAGAGCAATAAGATAACTAAAGGAAATCAAGGGGATACAAATTGGAAAGGAAGAGGTCAAAGTTTCACTATTCGCAGATGATATGATAGTATATATGAGGGACCCCAAAAATTCAACCAGAGAACTCAGTTCTTCAGCTGATAAACACCTTTAGCAAAGTGGCTGGATACAAAATCAACTAAAAAAATGCAGAAGCCCTCCTGTATACCAAAGACAAAAGGGTCGAGAAAGAAATCAGGGAAAATACCCTTCACAATAGCCACTAACAACATAAAATACCTTGGGGTGACTTTAACCAAGCAAGTGAAAGACCTGTGTGAAAAAAAAAAATCAAGGTTTTCAATATTTACTGGCTAAATTAAGCTTCTTCTTTTTTTTTTTTTTTAAAGGATTGCCTATTTAATTCATCAGTACATTTTTTAAAGTGATTTTTTTTTTGCAGTTCTTTGTGCATCCTAGATATTAATTCCATGTTGGCTATAGTTAGCGAAGATTGTCTCTTATTTACTAGGTCAATTCTTCCCAACAATAGGCTGATTTCTTTACTTTGGAAAACATTTTCATTTCTTGCAATTTTATCAGCTCTTGGGATTATTTCCTGGCCTATCAGAGTTCTTTTTTTTTTTTTTTCTTTTTTCTTTTTCTTCTTCTTCTTACACCTTGTTCTTGGCTAATTCTGTATGTTCAGTTGTTTTTTATTTTTATTTTTGACATCATTGTGGGTATCAGATTGACTCAAACTTGCTATGTAGCCAAAGATGGGGGATTTTCAACTAAAATTTCATTGAACACATTGACTATACCTTTGGCATATATTTCAGTATTTCTTCTTATCCTGTGAATTCTCTTGATTGTATTCCAGAATTATTGGATGTTGTGGTCATGCTCATTTTCTCCTTATTGATATCTGAATATATTTAGTATTTTCTTGGCCTTCTCCTCCATTTCAAACACTCCTTTCCCTCCTCTAGTCTATTGTGCTTTTCATTTGTAAGATTTCTATTTTTCCCCTTAAATCTCAATTTCTTTCTTTCTTTTTAATTTTTTTGAGACAGGGTTTCTCTGTGTAGCCTTGGCTGTCCTAGAACTCTCTGTGTGAACCAGACTGGCCTCCAGCTTACAGAGATCTACCTGACTCTGTCTCCCTGAGTGCTGGGATTAAAGGCTTGTGCCAGTACTGCCCAGCAAATGTCAATTTCTTTATTAATGCTCACCCACATTGCTGATTATTTTCTCATTCATTGATCATTCTACTAAGAAACATTAAAAGTTTTTAGTTGATAGTTCACCTATGCTAGTATTATTGTATTCAATAGCTGAGGAGTTATCTTTTTGAAGAACCACACAGCCTAGCTTTTTCACATTTTTCATGTTTCTGTATGGTAATTTGGTCATCTTGGTTTGGTATCTTTTCCATTGTTTATTTTTAAACTTATGATTTGTTTACTTATTTACAAAATCTCAATAGGTTTTCCTGGCTATCCTAGAACTCTTCAGGTAGACCAGACTAACCTTGAACTCTCAAGAATCTCCTGAGTGCTGGGATTAAAAGCATATACCACCATGCCCTGTCCTATTTTTTTAATACTTAAAAAAAGATATATTTTATGCAATGAGTTTTTGCCTTCATGTATATATACATACTCTGGTGACTGAGGAGCCCAGATGAGGACACTGGATGCCCTGAAGCTGTATTATAGATGGCTGTGAACCACCGTGTTAGTTCTGGGAATGGAACTCAGGTCTTCTGTAAAGAGCAGAAAGAACTTTAAACTGATGGACCATTTCTCTAGCCTTCTAGCTTCTGATTTCAATATATGTGTTTGTGTGAGAGTGTGTACAGAGGCCAAGGAATTAAAAAAGCCTGGCGATAGAGGGAAAAGAGGCTTTAAGTGTCAGGGGTAAGTAGTAGAACACATATGATATGAAGCTGAAGGAAGTAATACTAGAGTTGGAAAAGGTTAGGTAATGATAAGGGCTGAGATCAGGAAGAAGGGAGTGTGAGATGGATGGTCAACCCAAACTAGGGATGGTTGAAAAATCCATAAAAGGGGCTGGAGTGATGGCTCAGTGGTTAAGAGTACAGCTTGTTCTTCGAGAGGTACTGAGTTCAATTCCCAGCAACCACATGGTGGCTCACAACCATTTTTACTGGAATCTGATGCCCTCTTCTGGAAAGCAAATGGGAAAGCAAATGACCTATAGCACTCATATATATAAAATAAATAAGTAATTCTTTAAAAAAATTCAGAAAACTAATAAAACAATAAAATTGGGGTTTGGAGAGATGCCTCAGTGGGTGCAGCTCCTGCCCTATGAGCACGAGGACCTAAACTTGGATCTCCAGCATCTATACACAAGCCAGGTCTGGTGGCAAGAATTCCGCTACCAGTGTGTTTACATGTGTTAGAATCCCTGGAGCATTTTGGCCAGACAACCAGTAGAACCGATGAGATCCAGTGAAAAAACTCAGTCTGAAAAGATAAGGCAGAGACTGAACGAGGAAGACACTTTTTGGCTTCCTCACACACATATGTATGTGTACACATGTATACATGTACTCACTCAAAAAACATGTGAAGCTTTGTAGGCTCGTCTTACATACCTAGCTCCTCTGTTATCAACTCTTTAGTTGATAGCAGTTTCTGAAATTTGGCTGAGTACTGCTGTTACTTCAATAACTATGATTCTCAGTGATGCCTGGAGAGCACTAAAAATACAGATTCATAAATAATATTTAAATTTGGACAACTCTTTTCATAGCTTATTTTATCAAAATAATTTAATGCTTGTGGTGATATGACAGCTTAATCAAGTCAGAGAAATATAAGACCTTTTTAGACATTTTTGAGCAAGTGATAAGGAATAAGGAAAGCAAAACAGTTTTGCACAATTTAGACAAAAAATGTGCACATTACTGAAAAAAAGAGTAGAAATATATGTAACAGGAAGTCAGTAAGAAGAGAAATTAGAAGAGGAAAGTACTAAAATTATTTACTTAAAACTTTACACACACACACACACACGCACACACAGCTCTATGGCTGGGCCCCTGCTACCGAGTCGTGTGGCAGTAGAGGACAAACTGTAGGAGTTTGTAGGAGTCTGTTCTGGCCTTCTACTATATGGGTTCTGGGGTTTGAACTGAGAAAGTGCCTGTTGAGCCATATTTTGCCAGCCCTAAAATTGTTTATTTTAAATCTTAACCTCTGCCTCCAGAATCCCGAATCCTGGGATCATAAGGTGTGCAACCAGTCTTCTTTAATCCCCCCTCCCCCATGTTGGAAGATTATACTGTCCTAAACTTCATGTGGATTCATCCTCTCTGTTTCCCAAGTCCTGGGACTAAGGATGTTCGCCACCACACCCAGCTTTAAAAAAATTTTTAAGGGTACAAACTATTCTTGTTCCATTTGTTACTACCCTTCTCATGCACATCTGAGAACTGATGTTTCCTAAGTTTTAAATGAACTGGAACATAAGGTAAGGTCTTTTTCAGAAAATTGAGGAAGTTAGGATTCAGACTTTTTGTTTTTAATCGTTATCTGATTGGATATCTTTGATTTACTAGTATTTCCTAATTAAGTTCTGCCAATGTTCAAAGTCACACAGAAATAATTCCCTGTGGCGCCATCTTCCGGGGTCTTGAGCACACTCTGGACCTGGTTTTGGCTCCTTCCAGGTAGTGTTTGGAGGCTCCTTAGACGCATGCGCGACCTAACCTGGACGAAACTACAATTCCCAGAAAGCATTGCCACAGTGGGGCGAGGGCAATTTCTACCTTGTCATGGGGGAAATGATTCTCGCGAGAAAGTGAGGCTGAGGCGACTGTTCGCACCGAGTGGAGGAAGAGGAGGAGGTGCAGTCCCACAATACCCGGCGGAGGGCGGGTGGGTGGTCAGCGTCTGGGCTGCGCGGCGCTCCGGTTCCCGGTGGACCCAGCTGCCTCTGTCTCTAACGCGCGAGGAAGCGATGCGGAGGGGTGGAAAATGGCAGAGCTGCAGATGTTACTAGAGGAGGAGATCCCGTCCGGCAAGAGGGCGCTGATTGAGAGTTACCAGAACCTGACCCGGGTGGCGGACTACTGTGAGAACAACTACATACAGGTGAGGCGCTCGGGCGGCCGGGGCGGCCGGGGCGGCCGGGGCGACGGGCAGGCTGGGCGCGGCGGGAGCTGCCCTCCGCTGCGGCCCGAGCGGCCGCCGCCGCGATACAGGAAGTGGCTGCTGCGAGGAGATGGGCGAGGAGCAGGGCCGCCGCGGGCGCCGCTGGCCCGGACGCCGCTCCCCGCGAGCCCTGCCCGCCGGGCTCCCCGCCGCCTGCCCCGGCCGGGTCTGCAGACCCCGCAGCTTCCCCGTCGGGGTTCTGGCCCTGGCAGCTTTGCTCGGTTGTTTTCTGCAGTGCTCCCTGGCCGGGAAGGGCTCCCCGCAGCCTCTCCTAGCCGGGTCGGGCTCCCCGCAGCTTTTCCATCTGGATCGTGCTCCCGCAGCCTCTCCTAGCTGAGTCGTGCTCCCCGTTAGCCTCTGCTGGTCTAACCGGGTTGTGCTTCTTCTGCTTGGGCTCTGCTCCCCGCAGTCTTCTCTTGTTCAATACGTACTTCTCTTTTGGCCCAGCTTGGTCGCAAGACCCCGCAAGTCTTCCCTGGCCTGGCTTGGTCCCGAGACCCCGCAGCTACCCTTCCCTGGCTGAGGTCTTCCCGGAGGTCCCGCAGCCTTCCTTGGTTGCCTTGGTCCCGCACTCCTCCCTCGCGCACCTCTCTCTGCCCAACGTGATTGAGTCTAGCACCGGGGCAGTTGCGAGAGGAATGGGCAGGGAAGAGGCGCTGGGAAAGGAAAAGCGGGGTGTGTGTCGTTGGAGGGTGTGGGGTGTGGGTGATTATGTCAGTTCATCCTAGAGGGTGTGCCTGTTATTTAAAAAAAAATTGTCACGAGTCATTTATGCAGACCTCCCCATCGGGTGCGGGGAGTGAGTGCTGAGGGTAGATAAAATTCATCTTAAAATTCTTTTAATTGAAGGTTTGTAAATCTCCTTGCTTGGTGGTTTTCAAGTCGGGGTTTTCCTCCTCATCATATTTACTTCCGCTTTAGGATAATGTATACGCGTTATAATAAAGCAAGAATGATTCATAGGGAAAGTCATTGGGAAAATGTCTTAAATACATTTCTATCTCCAAATGTTCTTGCAGTGCTGCTTTTGAACTCAGTAGTGTCATCGAGGTTGCTTATTTGAGATTTCTATCCTGAGTTAACATATGGAAGAATATGGGTAAAATGGATTAACAAACATTATTTAGACTTTAAGTCTCAACGTTAAATTGCTTCTTGATATATCAGGAAATTCTTGACACTTTTTACGGTGCCATGCTTGCTTTTGTTTATTAGTGATTGTTAAGTGAATTGTATGCATTACTTTGGCTTGTTGTCCTTTGATGGTGTAAAAGCTATGTTTTCACTAGAAGTAAATAAAGTAGTAGAGTTCTTTTTATCATATGAAACTAGAAATTCACTTTTTGTTGATAAGGCAAGGCCAGAACAGTCTTTGAAACGTTAGGGTCATTGTACTTTAAACCTGCAGTATTTCCAAAATTGCCTTCTTCGTGATTATTGTTTTCCAGAGGCAATAGTTTCTGTGCTGGCAGATGCTTGGAGACTGTATTTTCAGAGGGAGATGATGTTTTGAGACTTGTTTGAGTAATTGTCAGTTTCCATATTAGTAACATTCTATCTGGAGTAGTTCAAGGAATTTGTCTTCATTTTTCTTTTCTAACCTTTGACTTTGGTAATCTGCTGGTAAATTTGTTGCCTTCTGTATAGCTTGTTCTTCAAAACTATATATAGCTCCTTACCACGTAGTAAAGAGCTGAAGGGATGGCTCAGTGGCTAAGAGCGCTTGTTGCTTTGGCAGAGGACCTGGGTTCAATTCCCAGCACCCTCATGGTGGTTCACAACCATCCTTAACTATAATTCCAGGGGATCCGTGTCTTCCTCTGACCTCTTAGGGCACCAAACATCCAGTATACATACACACATTCAGGCAAAACACTCAAAAGTAAAATGAGTAAATGTAATAAATACATTAAACCCATTTAAAGTCTGACAGAAATGCAGATATAATGTGAAAATAGAAAAGCGATCTTGTATTTTGTGGATACAATTGCTTGTAACTCCAGCTCCAGGGGATCTAACACCCTCTTTTGCACTACATGGGACCTGCATAAAGAAGTATGTAGACATTCCTACACACAATTAAAAAGTGCATAGACACAATTAAAAACCACACACTTTAATTGTTAATAGCCCTGATTAGGATAAGTAGTTGTGTTATTTCTTTTTCTTTGTGTGTAAAGTTTATGTTTGTTTTCAGACACAGTGTCATTCTAGCACAGGCAGGTGGAACTCTTGGTCCTCCTGGTTAGCCTCCAGGTGCTGTGATTAGAAGTGTGGCTGCTATTCCCAGCTGAGGGGAGAAATGTTTTTTTTGTGGGGGGACAGGTTCTCCTGCAGCTTTGGTTGGTCTGGAGCTTGTTTTGTAGACCAGGCTGGATGACAGAGAGCCTCTCTTCTGTCTCATCTTCTGGGATTAAATATGAACCACCATGCTTGGTGAAAAGATTATCATACCTGCACTGAGACATTAATTACTGTGTGAGTTTTACCATGATAATTAGTTTGTTGTTTTCTTATATTTTGAAATTTTAGCCCTATTCTGCTGAGAAGTTGTTTTAGCAAGTCCTTGGAATGCTTTGGGCCCTGCTGAGTTTAGTTCTTAAATTGAGTCATTAAAAGCAGAACTTATAAAAAGATTCTAAAGCTGTCTTTAAAAAGGATGGAGATTTAAATTTATGGGGCTTAGCAGTCAAAAGTGCATATTGCTCTATCAGAGGACCAGACCAGGGTTCACATCTCAGCTCATGCCAGTAATTTCAGCTTCAGGGGATTCTATGTTCCCTTCTGGCATCTTCTATGGACACACACACAGACACCCTCCCCCCAACCTCTTTTATCCCAGTACTCAGGAGACAGAGGCAGGCAGATCTGTGTGAGTTCAAGGCCAACCTGGTCTACAAAGGAGTTCCAGGTCTGCCAGGGCTGTTGTTATACAAGAAACCATGTCTCAAACAAAACAAAGCAGAACAAAAAACCAACCAGCCAACCAAAAAAAGTTATAGGAAAGTAATAAAATTATAAGTTAATTACATCGATATATTGATATATTATATTAATATATAAATATATTAAAATATATAATATATTAATAGCAAATATTTATATAGTATAAATTATATTATATAAATTAATATTTAATATTTATATAATATAAATTATATTTAGAAAAGTTTCTGCTGCTTCTATTTGGTGTAAAATTGCATTTTCCGTGGTAGATTAACTCTAGGACCATAGAGCCTTAACTTGAATACAGCAGTTAGTTTAGAGTTGTTACTGTCTTGCTGTGGGATATTTCTTGGGGAACTAGGAACTAAATGAACAGAAACTGTTTAAGAAGGTTGCTTGGGACGAAGATTGCTGGCGCAGATCAGGATAGAAGGTCTTGGAAAAGTTAGAGTCATTGTACTTTAGATCTGCAGTATTTGTAAAAGTGCCTTCCTCATGGTTATCATTTTCCAGAGACACTAGTTTCTATGCTAGCAAATGCTTGTAGACTTTATTTTCAGAGGGAGATGCTGTTGAGACTTGTATATTTGTCAGTTTCCGTATTAGTAACATTCTATCTGGAGTAGTACTGCAGGGTGGCTTCATTCTTTTCTAGTCTTGACTTTGGTAATCATGTAGCTTCACTTTTTAATTTTTCTCTCTGAAATTCCACCAACTTCGTTTGGATTTGCAAATATGTTTTTTTAAGCATATTTATTTGTAAAGTGTGCACGTTTCTCTATGTGTATTTGTGTGTGTGCGTGAGTGCAAAGAGTTGTTTTAATAATTAGTCTTACATGTTAATGTGAACTAGTTAGTTAGCATAACTCAGCTCATAACATCTGCTTGGTTATGCACATTAATCCTTGAAAGGAGATAACATTTGACACAGTAACAATTTGAGATTGGTAGAAGCATGACCATTCTGGCATTGTACACTTTATGCTTGCTTATAAGCAATACTAATTGGTAAAAGTGCTTCTCATGCCGTTAAACTTTTTATTTTGAAATGGGGTAGGTGGTACATACTTATAAACCAACACTCAGGAGGCTGAGGCAGGAGGATCACAATTTTCACAGAATTTTGAGACTAGCCTGGTCTATATAGTAAGACTTCATTTAAAAAAAACCTAAAGAAATTAAAAAAAAAAGTAGTGTTTTGAAAGACATAGTCTCCCTGTGTTGACTAAGATGGACTGGCTTCAAACTCTGAGCCTAAGCAACTTCCTGTAGCCACAGGTGGGTGTGCATGTGTGTTCAGCCACCACCTCTTGTTCTCGCTTTCCCTCTGCTTCCCCTTTTCCTCTTCTTTGTTTCTCTTTCACTTCTTCCTGGCAACCATCTGGGTTCAGAGACGTTAAATATTTAATGTGAATAAGATTCAATAGCTACTAATAATGCCTGAAGTAAACACTAACTCTTCAGATTCCAATACTTTTTTTTTTTAATGTGCATCAGCGTGAAGGTGTAAGATCCCTTGGAGCTGGAGTTACAGACAGTTGTGAGCTGCCATGTGGGTGCTGGGAATTAAACTCGGGTCCTCTGGAAGAGCAGACAGTACTCCTAACCACTGAACCCATCTCTCCAGCCCCCAGATTCCAATACTTTTAATCCTGAATTGGTTACTTTCTGCAAAAAGTTTCTTTTAAAAGAGTGGGTGAAGAAGATAATTGGAGATAATAAAGGACAATATGTGTGTGTCCTTCATTGTCCTTGGGTGCTCAAGTCTCATACATGGTTTGACATAGAATTTGCATCAAATCCACATTTCTGTATGTATTAAGTCCTCTCATCTCTAGATTACGTGCAATACTGAGTACAAGCTGAGCTCTATGAAAATGTGTTTTTAAAAAATGATGATTACTGTTTGTCTGCACACATGTACTGCTGTGTGTGTAGATCAGAAGATAACCTGTAGGGGTTGGCTTTCCCTTTCCACCATGTGGAGCCTGGGG